TGCCTCTAATCTCCCTCCCCCCAACTAGCCCTGCTTCCCGTTCTCCCTCTGCTCCCCCCCCCGGCCGGTCCCTCTGCCCTCCCATCTAGTGTGTCCGGTATTTTTTCCGAAGCGACCTGGTAATCCTATTGACTACCTTTTTGTTTTGGCTCCCACCCCTGGGCCACATGTTGAGCCCCGCGTAAACCCAAACTGCACTGTGGGCCACAAGCAAATGGGCTGCATGTTGAGCCCTGGTTTAACATACAAATGATTCTTTTTATTAAGGAAATTGTGTACTCTCACATACCAGTTCCTTAAAATAAGATGGCCAATGTGAGACTCTTAAGGCCACTTTTTATATTTTTCTAGTGCAGAAATGGACTTCAACTTCAGTATTTACATTCAGATCTGAATTTCAGATCTTTCCTATTCCTTCTTTAAATTTAAAGACTTGATTTTGGCCCATCTTGCGTGCGTGCGTGCACATGCATTTAGAAAGAGTAAATGCATCTCTGCCTTCCATGTTGTTGAAGACCCTAAGTTCTCTTAAGTGTCTCCATTTAAAAGTTTCTTGTGATGGAGAATCCACCACAGTCCTTAATAAGTTGTTCCAGTGATTAATTACAGTGGAGTCCGGATTAACCGACACCTGGTAATCCGACACTCCGCTTTATCCAACCCTGCAGTTCCCGGGGACTTTGTCCCCGGGATCTGCAGGGTCGTATACAACGCGAGCCGGGAGAACGGCCCCGCTTGCTGGGCAGCAGCAGCAGCTTCTCCTACAGAGCAAGGAAGCAGCTGATGCTGCTCTGCCGGGGACGCTTCGTCCTGGCAGGAGCGGCATCAGCTGTTCCGTTGCTCTCTACAGTAGAGTCCGTATCATCCAACATATTTGGTAATCCAACCATGTATCGGTCCCGTTTATGTCAGATAATAGGGACTCTACTGTACCATCACTGTTAAAAATTTATGCTATATTTCCCGTTTTAATTTAACGTCAGCATCCAGCCACTAATTCTTGTTATACTTTTGTCTGCAAGACTGAAGACCCCTCTTATCAAATTTCTGCTCTTCAGTACTTTTAGACTGTGATCAAGTCACTTCTTACACTTCTCTTGGTTAAGCTCAATAGTTGAGCTCCCCTAGGCTATAAGGCATGTTTTCCAATTCTTTAGTAATTCCCTTTGGTTCTTTTTTTAAACCATTACCGGTTAATCAACATCATTTTTGCCACTGATCTGGACACAGTGTTCCAGCACTGGCCACATCTGTGCCAAATAGAGGTTCTCTAATCTGTCTGCGCCTTGCTATTTCCCCTTTTCAGGCCACAGCATCAAACTGGGAACTCATGATCAGTTGATTATCCATCATGACATCCAAGTCTTTTTCGGGGTGGCTGCTTTGCAGAATCGAGTTCTCCATCCTGTTAACTATGGCCATCCAATAAGACTTCAATGCAGGTAGAACTCCATTCCTTCTCTTTAGAGAGCAGGGAACTCTAAGAAGGGATTTTGACACATTGTGAAGTACAATGCCTAACCATCTACTCCTTTGGTCTCATTGTACTCTGACTGTGTCAGGTCACAAGCTGTGGTGGTTATACCACCTGGAAAGAACTGTGTACTGAGTTTTCAGTTCACTGATGTATGTACTTTCCACAATATATTGCAGCCGCTTGGTAAACATAAATGTGATTAGGCAAACAAATTGCTTTAGCTGTGGCCCCTTTGTGGCATGTAATGTTTTTGGTTTATCTGTTGTGTAAATTTAGTCCTATTTGGGAAATAGTCTCTCATAGCTCAGCTTAGCTAGTTGTAGAGCCATCTCTGTCAGGGATGATCACTGATGATACATTTGTACAGCTCCTAGTGCAAAGGAGCCTCAACATGATTGGACTATGGGTACTACTGTAATGTAAATGTTTAGTAATGATGATAATTTGTATCCATTCTGCGTTTAACAGTTAGAACAAGGCACCTTGAAACAAGACATTTATAAAGTTTAACATATGGAGGCAGGTTCTTATTTGAACATTGGTTATTTATTTAAGATGTGTGGCTATTGTAGGTAGCCAAACCCCCTGGGGTTGCCAGGAGTCTCCTGGAATCAGGCTCAATCTCCCAGAGGCTACTGAAGCCAAACCAGTAGATTTTAGGTCACTAAAAATCAGGGGGTGCAGTGGGGCTCATACAGGAACCTGTCCTGGTTCTGTGCAGTTCCTGGATGTGGCCTGGTTGGCCCATCATCCTGCAGGCCACTATATGGGTAGGCCAGGTGGCTCTTCAAGCTGCCCCCATTCTGAGCACCAACTCTAAAGCTTCCCCATCCCCTTCTCCTCACTAGCAGCTGCAGGGACATGGCAGCTACTTCTAGGAGTGGCACAGAGCCAGGGCAGGCAGATATCCTGCCTTAACCCTGCTGCACCACAGAATGGGGGCTGCCTGAGGTAAGTGCTAGATAGAATCTGCATCCCACACTCTGAACCTCTACTTCAGCCCTGAGCCTCTTCCCACATTGTGCACCCCAACCCATTCAAACTCCCTCCAGAATTTGTACCTGCTCCAGCAGCCCAAACCCCTGCCCCAGTCTCAGCCTAGAGCCCCTTTGCACACTCCAAACCCCAAGCCCCAGTCCAGTGAGAGTGAGGAAGGGTGTGGGAGAGGGAGCAATGAAGGGAGGAGGGCATGGAGCGAGTGGGGGAGTCTTGAGGAAGAGGCTGGGCTTGGGGTTGAGGTAGGGCAGGGGGCACAGCATGAGTATTTGGGTTTGTGATTAGATAGTTGGCAACCCTACCATATTGTGATTTGTAATGGTAGATGATTGAATTTGTAGGAATAAATAATTTTTCAAGTTTTATGCTGAACAGATTTCTGTTGATCTGAATGTAGTCATGCAGACCACAAAATGGTAAAACTTGCTTCTTGCCCTAAGGTTTACTTTTAAGTAAACTAACCACAACATAGAGTAGTACATCTTAAAAGGCAAAATACAAATCTTAAAATATTCAAACACAAGGTGGAATTGAATCCCTAACATACTTTGCCTTCAGCCACACTTATGGTATTCTCTGAGAATTCTCTCAGGCAAAATATGCACAGGAAAGTCTATGAACTGTCCAGTGTAGTAGCACAAAATTTGCACATATCTAGTGACTTTGTGTAGTTATTGCTCGTCTATGACGGCAAGACAAATTTTAATTTAGGTGTTAGAATTAGAGTATGATAGACCAGTTGGGGTTTGAATTCTGATTTGCTCGAGGATCAGTTGTTTCAACAGTGTTTGTCAGTTTTTCATATTTCTTTTAAATTTTAATTATAACCCATCAAATCTTAAGTAATTGCTCATGGGTTAGGCTCAGATGAATGTCATTGAAGGGTGTTTTAATTTGATGGTTTCGGCATAACATCTGTTTCTAATGTTTTAAAAGCCAATTTATATGGAAATTTATTTTAGCAAAAAGTCAATAGATAGACACTTTTAACACCTCTTGTACTCTAGCAAAAATTCAAAAGTTAAAGGAAAATAGCATTGACATAATTCTATTTCTTGCTTGCACAATATAGAGAATAAGAAAACAAGGACCTGTTTGCATTATCATAGTAATATGATTGTATCTTCTCTTTCTTGCTGTTTGGCTCATTTCTTTGTTTTTATTTTTTTTAATAGCCGAGCTATCAAGACAAACCAGGATCTTCTGTCAGAAACCCCCTGGACCCACATATTCTACAATGACTTTTGGGGAACCCTCCTCACCCACAGTGGGAGTCACAAGTCCTACCGACCTCTCTGCACACTCTCCTTTCGCATTAACCATGCTATTGGAGGCTTGGACCCTTGGAGCTACCACCTTGTAAATGTCCTGCTACATGCTGCAGTCACAGGACTTTTCACAAACTTCTCCAGAATCTTGTTTGGGGATGGATATTGGACATTAATCGCAGGCCTGCTGTTTGCATCTCATCCCATCCACACCGAAGCAGTGGCAGGAATTGTAGGGAGGGCTGACGTCGGAGCCTGCTTCTTTTTTCTTCTCTCCTTGATATGTTACGTTAAACATTGCTCTACAAGAAGCTACTCAGCCAGCACTTGGGGCTGGATCTTGGGTACAGGACTCTGTGCTGGCTGCAGCATGTTGTGGAAAGAGCAAGGAGTGACTGTTCTAGCAGTTTCAGCAGTTTATGACATCTTTGTGTTTCACAGGTTGAAAATGCACCAGATCATTCCTTCTATATATAAAGTAAGTGACTCTCTGCTCACCTTGTTCTATAAAACAAGCAATCACTAAATTAATCATATGCCAACTTTATCTGCAGGTATGGCTTACTAGGGAAGTTAGCCCTCTGCAAAATAAGCACAGATGTCTTATATTGAAAGTTTTATCGTTAAAACTATCAGTCATTTTTTGTTAGTGGCTGGCATTTAAACTAGGTGGTTTTGCCCGTCTTTTCATGCTGGGGATGTTATTTCATTCATTCACACCCATCTTTTTTAGCTTTTCCACTCTGTTTGCCATCTAGTACCTTTTTGCATGGTGGTGGTTTTTTGTATCTTGCAAATTCAGCTTCCTGTGGCTGAATATACAAGAGCATCAGCTGATATAAATCTACAAACCTCTCTGAAGCGAAGATAGAACATTTAATGTTCAGGTTCAACAAAAATACATAGGTCTTGAATTAAGGGCTCTGACACACTTCTCCCCCTGATAGGAGCTGCCATGCAGATGTATTACAGCCTCTTATAGAAGAAATATTTCTGAAAATGTGGCTTACAAACAAAACAAAGAAGTTTTCTCTTTTATTTGCATCACAGCTGTGTCTAAATGTCCCATCTCAGACCTGGGCTCCATTTCGCTCGGTGCTATACACAAGTAAAAGAAAAGCGGACCAATTTTTTTTGATGGATCAGTTTTCCATTGGAAAATACAGATTGAAAAACATCAAAATATTTCATGGGAACATATCAATTTCACCATTTTTATGGCAAATTACAGGCAGTCCCCGGGTTACATGGATCCAACTTACATCGGATCCCTACTTACAAACGGGGTGAGGCAACCCCTCACTAGCTGCTTCCCCCCAGCAGACCAGGGAGACGCGAAGCTAGCGCCCGCCCCAGCAGACCAGGGAGACGCGGAGCGGCTTTTCTCAGCAGACACCTCAGCTTTAGAATAAAGGACTGAGAAGTGAGGTGTGGGAGAATAAAACTGAGCTCTGGAGAAATGTTTGGCTAGAGTTTCCCCTACAATATGTACCAGTTCCGACTTACATACAAATTCAACTTAAGAACAAACCTACAGTCCCTATCTTGTACGTAACCCGGGGACTGCCTGTATAAGAATGTTTAGTTCAAAGTACTTTGTTTGGACATCTGATATAAAATCCTAAATTGGGATCTTCAACCTTATTGTAATGAATTACTTTTGGAAATTTTGAGAGATTTTGAAATTTCGACTTTTTGTTTTGATGCAAGAGTAAAATTCTAAAATGCTTGAAATAATTCTCTCAGAATGGAAATTTTAGATCCATTTAAGAGACAAGTCCCTGTCTTGACAACTTATGATGGCGTGACAGACACGAGGTGCCCCCAGCCGTCTTTTGCTAAACTGGTGTGAAGTGTTGTTTAACATAACTAATGTCAACTTATATTAAACACTTTACTTATTCAGGTGTTTGAGAATGTAATAACAGTTCTGAAAGCCAATGTACAAACAGCACGAGTACACTAAATAGTGACTTGTTGGAAAAAAGAAAATGTATATATGTATCTAACTGCAACTTACATTTTAAAGTTACGTGGTGCGATTTTTCAAATGTTTGGCACATAATTCTGTAGTCATGTTTGTAAGCCTCTCTCATTATCCAAAGAAGAAAATGTGTGATAAAACTATATTTTATTCCTAATATGTACATATTTCTTAACATCAAATTTGAAATACATTATGTTTGTCTTTTGTATCTAAACTAAACAACTGCTCCTCAGATCCTTTTCTTTTCTTGTGGTCAAAATCCTCTCCCAGGTCTGTCTTCACACCTTGACTGAAAACCAGCAGTTGATGCTTTTATTCCATGGAATAACCAGCAGTTAATGCTTTTATTCTATGGACAGTCATGAGGAATCAAGATGGAAACACTTTAAGTGGAATTGCTGTCTATTCTATCCCTTCCTCTCCAGATTTGTATTTGTGGTATTTATTTCCTTTCCTTTAGTGGAGGATTTCATATTTACCATAGTGGTTTCAAGTCTTTGTATTTGTGTTAAATTTATGTGTGTGTTTGGTTTGGTTTGGTTTTTGGCAAGTAATTCTGAGGATGTTGTTTTACTTTTAAAGAAATATGCTACTTGCATGGAGAGCATGGTTCACAGCAGCAATTCGCAGGAAAGCAGGCCACGGTGGGTTGCTGCTATGTGCAGAGATTTGTCACAAGGACATGAGCAGATGAATTTGTATTAAGAGATGTCTAGGCCTGAATCCAATCTTTCATAGAAACTTGTGTGTTTTTGGGGGCAGTTCCACCACCCACATTCATCTTTCTTGGTTTTGGGTAGGAAGCCTCCTAACACACTTTGCTCTTCTGAGCATACCCATACTCAACAGATACAGGAGTATGTCTACACTTGCCCCCTAGTTCGAACTAGGGAGGCAAATGAAGCATACTAAAGTTGCTAATGAAGCACAGGATTTAAATATCCCGTGCTTCATTAGCATATTTGTGGCTGGTCACCATTTTAAAATGCCAGTCGCCCGATTTAACTTGCCGCATGTAGATTCGGTAGTTCGATTGGAAACCCCTTCCTTCGATTTAACTGTTACTCCTCGTGCTTCATTTGCCTCCCTAGTTCGAACTAGGGGGCAAGTGTAGACATACCCTATGAGAACTGTGATGTCCTTACCATGCTGGTGCAAATAAAGAGAGCACTCTGATAATTGAGTCTGCATCTGAATTATCATATGAAATATTTATATAAAGCTAGATAAATATACGTAGGACTTTGAGGTATTCAGGGTGATTATAATCAGGGGCGGCCCTAGACTAGCTGCCAGCAACTGGTGCCCTAGGCGAACCCTGCAATCGGTGTCCCCACCTCCAAACCCCTCAGTGATATTGCGCCACCATTTGGCGCCCCATTTAACTTGGTGCCCTAGGCGACTGCCTAGCTCATCTATCTATATGGACGGGCTGCCCCTGATTATAATGGAACAATTGACTTTTTGTAAATATGGTTAAGTTGTCAGTGTCCCTAAACTTATTCTCCCTTCGTTGCCTGCAATCCCTAATGCACTCACTTCTTTGATGTGTGTCTCTCTTCCTGTGTACTTGCTACATCTTCTGTTTCTGTGGAGTTAGCAAATTCAGTCACAGATTAATTTAGACTTAAACTCTAGGCCAAAGCATGAAGCAGTGGTACTGGTTCCAGGGAGACACTTCAGTAGTGGGATTGCCAGGTGTCCAGTATTGACCTGGACAGTCCAGTATTTTCGCCTCCTGTCTGGTTATAAAAAAAATCAGAAAATACCGGACACCTAAAATGTCCGGTATTTTCTGATTTTTTCCCCCCTGCCAGGAGGCGAAAATACCAGACACCTGGCAACCCTACGACACACTCAGCAACCAGGCCCAGCCTCTGGAGCCCCCCTCCCTGACCCAGCTCCTAGGCCACTCCTGTATTCCCCCCCTCCTCCCCCGCCCTCACTTACCTGGTTCTGTAGGGGAGCTCTCTTCTGGCACAGAGTAAGAAAAAAAGATGGCTGCCGGTTTCAGTATTTTTGGTTAAACCATCTGGCAACCCTATTTGGTAGTCTTGTGTGTTTTGTGTTTCGAAAAGTTTCTGCATGACATTCCCCAACCCCCCCATCCTGAACTGCAGGAAGCAGCACTAGAGAGCACTCTTTTGAAAGACTAAATGCTCTTTGATTTCATATCTGAAGGTGGAAGGCAATTTGAGTTAAAGTGATCATGAAATGATACATTTCACAAGGAAGGAAAGAAGTTGGAATAGCAGAATAAGGACAATGGATTTTAGAAAAGCATATTTTGACAAAATTGGAAAATTGGTCAGTAAGGTCCTATGGGAAGAAAATCTAAGGGATAGTTCGGGAAAGATGGCAGTTTCTGAGTGTGGCGATATTAAATGCACAACTGCAAACTAACCCAATTCAAAGGAAAGATAGGAAGAATGGTAAGAGGACAATACAATTCAATCAGGAGTTCCTTTAATGACCTAACCTCAAAAAGAAACTTTAAAAAAGTGGACACATTTTTAAGGAGGTGTACTGGGCAAATTAGTTGAAACTACAGTAAAGAATAAAATTCAGAAATATGGATGAATATAATTTGTTGGGGGAAGGTCAACATGGTTTCTCTAAAGGGAAATCATGCCTTAGTAATCTGCTAGAGTTCTTTGAGGGGCGGGAGTCAACAAACATGTGGACAAGAGGAATCCAATGGATACTTAGTATACTAGTATAGAAATCTAGTATACTTAGATTTCCAGAAAGCCTTTGGCAAGGTCCCTCACCAAAGGCTCTTAAATAAAGTAAGTTGTCCTGGGATAAGAGGGAAGGTCCTTTTGTGGGTTGGTAACTGGCTAAAAGACAGGAAATAAAGGGTAGGAATAAATGGGAAGCTTTCAGAGTGGAGAGATGTAACTAATGGGGTTTCCCAAGAGTCTGTCCTGGGACTCATTCTATTCAACTTATTTATAAATGATCTAGAGAAAGGGATAAACGGTGAGGTGGCAAAATTTGCAGATGGTACCAAATTGCTCGAGATCTTGGAGTCTCTGAAAACATCTACTCAGTGGGCAGCGGCAGTCAAAAAAGCAAAAAGAATGTTAGGAGTCATTAAGAAAGGGATAGAGAATAAGACAGAAAATATCTTATTGCCTCTATATAAAACCATGGTACACCCACATCTTGAATACTGCTTACAGATGTGGTCTCTTCGGGTATGTCTAGACTACATGCCTCCTTCGACGGAGGCATGTAGATTAGCCAGATTGGAAGAGGGAAATGAAGCCGCGATTAAAATAATCGCGGCTTTAATTT